ATCCAGAGGTGACGGAACTAGGGGGTGCTGTGTTATGGAGAGTAATGTGTGACCGGAAATGGTCTGCAGTCAGTTGGTTGTTACCATGCGACAGTGATGTTGGAGTATACAGCAATATGAAACTATTATGTGGCCTAATGAATGAATAAAGTTCGGAGTTTGTCAGGTAGTGAAATTATTGTTTCACATTTTAAGTGTAAGCTATATTACGGTGATTAATTTAATTAGTGAAGATATGGAGACAATTATTTCGAATCCCTCTTTCCAAGAGTGAAAAAGTGAAGAGATAAAAAGAGAATGCATGATGATCAAATTTTAAGTCTGTGAATGTCATTTCCGGCCATCTAGAGAGGTGCCATGATCATAAATTTTCTTAACACAGCCCCAACCATGGTGGGGCTGAGGTGGTACGATTTCAAATTCCTACTAGTACTGCTAGATCCGCCACTAATATCATATCATTTTTTCTTCGTTAAATACATTTATAATATATTAAATGGCAAACATGTTTAAAAAACACATCTAAACCCTATAATTGAATTAGCGACCGGGACCGGAAAAGAGCCCCTAGTCTCAGAAAACCACAGGGCCCAGGCTCTAGTGCTACACCACTGAATGTACTGCCACTGTGTGTTCAGTAGATCCTTTTCTAATTGTTTGATGTATGTAGTCGGGCCGTCCTGGCTTCTTTTTCCCATAGCTTGGTTCCCAAAAGAGAACCATTGTAAAAACTTTTTACTTATGTAGTAATGTCCAGCAAATGCTAACCTTTGTTCCCTCAAAGTTCGTGATATACAGGGGGAAATATCTCCATACATAATATGTTGTTAATAGTTGATATTCAAGGCGTGTCTGAGTAATCTTGTATAACAACCATTTAAGTTCTATCTCTCAAGAATATGTTCATTTATTTTTCTATAGAAATTTCGTAATAAGCAATACCGTATACTCGAGTAGGTCCTATAAGTTGACCCGCGTATAAGACGACCCCGAGTTTTAGAAAATATTTGTCGCGTCGGTCTGTGTGAGTTGAACGCAGACGCGATGGTGTGCGTCGGGGGCAGTCGCGTCGTAGAATATTAAACATGTTTAATATTTCTCACGACGGCTCAAGACTGTCCCCGACGATAAATCCGGTCGGGCTGCGTCGGCCGACGCTGTCTGAGTTGGCCTTAAGACGACCCCCTGTTTCATGGTCGGAATTTCTAATTTTTTGTGGTCCTGATACTGCATCTAGCTGGATAAATGGAGCCAAATGCAAGGGTAATCTTCCAAATAATACCAGTTTATGAGTTTTTTTTTTTAATTTTCACCACCAAAATCGTATTTTCCCGTATTTAAAATTGCGTTCATTCATACAACATTCATTGCTTCATTACAGTAGTAAGTTCGCGCGTTACGGACGATCATGATTACAGGCACAGGTAGCCCAGAGTAGTGCCGAATGCTGCTCTAAAGGCCAGGCAGCCAAGTTGGAAAGTAATACGCCCATTGACATTTATTCGTTTGAGGGTGGCACATAGAGTGTTGATGGGGTGTATGGGTGTACTTCAAGGATGATTTAAATGCTTTGTTTTGCAGTGTCTGTAGTAAATATGAGGGAAAATTAGTGAGTTGTATAGAATAATGGAAGTCCGATTGTTGGATAAATTTTCTGGTATTTCAGAGTATAGAAACATGACCAATTTTGGAACGGGGGTGACTTATTTGGTTTCCACGATAGTGCATTGTCAATGATGAGACCCAGATGTTCATATTTAGTAACTTGACAGATATGATCAAGTTTAGCGCTTAGAGACTTTTTGTATTTTGCGCTCTATAAATTAATAACCATTAACCATTATATGATGATTATTGATGGAAAGGTCTAGAGGGGTTATTTTTTTAATTTGTGTAGAGTTCTAATAAGCATTGACATGGTTTTATTTTTGTTTATAAGAATTTTGTTGTGATGAAGCCATTTATGCAGGGATATTAGATCTTGGTTAAGAGTATTTTGAATTGTAAAATTCATCATCATCACATCATCATTATATAGGCCTAGTCAAAATGGAACGCAAACAAATATCTCATGATCTTTTATCAGGGATATACTTAATATCCAGGAAAACTTAGGCCTAACTATGGCTTACTTTTTTGCCTTTAACACAATTTCTTTACTTTTTAATATTATTAATATTATTATCTACTATCACCATCGTCATCACCATCATCGTCATCATCATCATCATCATCATTATTATTATTATTATTATTACTAGTAGTAGGTCTATTGTAGTATTAAAACAAAACTTATAGGGCTTGCTAAAGGAAGGAAACTAAACTTAACCATACAATATCACATTTTTGTATCTGAAAAGACCTGGTCTGGGATTTATGGATTTCAGATTTATAAAAATCATGCTTACGCCTATGTGTTATTATAGTAGGCCTATGAATAACGTGTGCTAATGCATAGTTACATAGTTTAGAAGTATTTATTTTGAGCGATCCCTGGAAAAAAATTGTATTGGCTAGCAAAAACAAGCTTTAAAATATTAACACTGTCTGTAACACAATCTGTATACGTCCCTAGGATGGATGGATGGATTTATTCGGTGTAAACACCAAGGATAACCAACGAAAGTCTGTAGAACACTTATTTCCAGTGGGGTACTTGGAGCAGTACACTGGGATACAATCACTTAGTCCTACTCTTTTTCCAATACAGTATACCGTTACTGCGTACTTTAACGTGCATCTGGCCCATAATTCACACGGACCAACGGCTTAAACGTCTCGTCCGAAAGGCGGTGATGAGTCGTAACTTGCATTTAAGGCCCAGCTGAAATACAAATATAGCAGCGATGGCAATTTCCATGGTTCAGCGTAGTGCACAACCTCCAGTTTAACCAACGGAGCTAAGCTGCTTTTAAATAATACAAAAAGACAGTAACTACGAAAAGAGACAGAGACATTTTGAGATTCAACGTTTCGATCTACTTGATCATTTTCAATAATACTGGTGAGAAAATCTCACCCACCCATATATATTTACAATATTTACCGAAGTATAACAGAAAGCAAATAAAAACCGACTAATGAAATTAAAATCAAAGTTATCCGATCCGGATACCAACAATAATATGACGATCGAATCACGTGCCAATAAGAAACTGGAAATTGTAATCGCGTACGTGTGATTGGTTGATGATAGAAACGCCCTCAACTTGCTAACTGATAGCGTTTTGCTAACCGTTAGCGTATCCGGATACCGCTAACGGTTAGCGCTAACCGATCGGGCGTTCTCACGCAGGTGCTAACGGTTAGCGCTAACGGTTAGCTCCCGATCCGGATACAGGGCTCTCGTGAGAACCAGGATCATCTACCAATCATACGTACGCGTTTACAATTTCCAGATTCTTATTGGCACGTGATTCGATCATCATATTTTTGGTATACGGATCGGGATTTTCTCGTATGGACGCACTGCAGCTAACGGTTAGCAGGATCCGGATCCTGCTAACCGTTAGCAGCCGTGTGAGAACATAGCATAAGTCTATATTGTTTATTTCATATGGGGTCAAAGGGCCACTTTTAATAATAGTATTTCAACAAGAAAATGGTGACTGTGGTCACTTGTACTGGTAATGTCATTTTGCACCTCTGGACGTAGATTTTACTTATGGATTGGTTTCCAATGTTCTAAACCAGCCGAATATAATTAATCCCTAACCAATAAAACAAATACATTAATTAGAAATAATTTCAGCATGTCTGGCCTTGTTTCCTCGTTCTTTTCCACACAATAAAACCAAAAATTATCATTATATTAATCAATGTAAAACATAACATTGAAAACTCGGATAACCAAAAATGTCCACTTATGTCGCGAAGATAGCCTGCAATGAGAAATAGAAACATCTTAGGTATGTAACACAAAATAAAAAGAAACACACATTACGGTATTCATTGAAATCAGAAATGCTTATTGTATATTTGTATGCTATGCTGATGTTTTGTTTATTGGCTACCACTTACCAAGAAACGGAACTGCTATGCATGCGCCAACGCCATACGCACATCCAACCCAAGCATATCCAAAAAAAAAATCATCATCTACTGTAGACTTGACGATAAGCGGTATTATTCCACTGTACCAACCCATAGAAAAACCATAGAAAACCATCACTACATAAACAGCGTTATCAGTTTTCGTTGTAATGCAAATTAGTAAAGACAGAAACGAAAGAAAATAGGAAAGTCCTAGTTGGATGAGCAAATCATTTAAAACGAATTTGCTAAGAATATACTGGAAAGGTCTTCCGCAGGTACTACTTGCTCCGTAAACTGCCAAAATTAACTGACTGTGGTGTAGACTAGCGCCTCGCTCTAGCATGTCATCCGGCATAAGAACTTCAACTCCGTCCTCAGTTGCTCCTTGTATTAATGAAACGACAACAAGAATGACGAAAGAATGTTTCTTAAACAAACGCAAATGACATATTTTGTAAATATACTGCAACCAATTAAAACGCATTTTTTCATCTGTTGGAGTAATTCCAGTTTGTAGATCAAGTTTGGGAGAATTATTTTCTTGCTTCACTTCCAAAAGAGAAATTTCTTCGGCTTCTTCATTAGATTTTTTGTTTGTTGATGGTCTGAATATCACTCCACATAATACTAGATGATATACAACCGCCGAATGAAGAAGAAACGCATGTTTCCATCCATAACTGATAACAAACCTCTGTATGTTTAAAAGATAAGAAAAATACATATATCTTATAAAATTAAGTTTCATATAATTTTGAATCTGAACACAAGAAAAAATGTTTTGGCTTAGTAGTGTAATTCAGTAAAATAACTCCGTCGTCGCTGTCCATTGAGGTGTCTGACTGGATTGTAGTTGCGGTCTCATAAAATTGCGTCAGCTGCCGTCCAGTTTGCGACCGGCTTAATAGTTTTTCCGGCATTAAATTTTATTATAACATAGGCCTACCTGATACACATACGGTGACATCACATGCCCTACTCCAGCCAATCCTACTTTTATTGACATCATTAAATTGAAATGCTTTTTAAAATTAACATCTATGACGAAGAAACTTGTGTAATAACTCAAGCATATTCCAAAGCCTGAAGCAGAGAAAAAAAATGAAAGGTTATAAATAAATAAATTAAACACATATTTTAAAACGACTACCTTCCCTTCATGTGTATCTATAAATACGCCGCTGGGATTTTTTTTTTTTTTTTTGCAGAACCATATAAGTCAAAAAATGACTCGTATGCTGTGTACATTTCATATACAATAAAAGGTTATTATTAAAGAGGTAATTTCCGTTATTTTGTGCAAATAAAAGTTGATATGCTATTAAGAATAACGAAAGGGAATAAAGAAAGAGGGAATAAATAAACAGAAGACGATATAATATATATATAAGTTTATATATATAGGCCTATATATATATTTATTTATAAGAAAAAGAAAAATCGGGAAGAAAAGAAAGGAAAAGAGAACGAAAAGAAAGTCAAAAATCAAAAGACATAGAAGGAAAAGACAAAGGAAAATCAAAGAAATAGTAAAGAAAACAAAGGAAATAATAAGAAATGTTGAAAGAAAAGAAAAATAAAAGACAAAAAAGGAAACTCTATTAGAAAGGAAAAGAAAATGAAAGGAAAAAAGGAAAAGAAATAGAAATAAGGAAAAAGATAAAAAATAAAGAAATTACAGGGAAGTAAAAGAAAAGATAGACAGACAGAGGAATGAAATAAAAGAAAGAAGGGAAGAAAAGACATTATTAAGAAAAAGAGGTAAGGAAAGTCACAGATAATAAGGACAAGAAAAGAAATATTTAACAAATGATTAAGTCGATCAAAAGAAATTTAAATTACTGTATTTTTCAAATTACTAATAACTTAAAATATATCAAGTTAATGTATTTATATAGTTGATATTCATTTATTTTGTAATTGAAACTTTAAATAATGTATTCTACTCCCTGCTGTAAAGCGCATAGAGTTGGTTCACATTATGCGCTACATAAATTCACTGTTATTATTATTATTATTATTATTATTATTATTATTATTATTATTATTATTATTATTATTATCAACGACACAACTGGACATCTAAAGAACATAAACAGATAATTTCGAGCTCACCAATAAGACAGCAAGCTAAGTAAACCTCAATAATACTCGTTGAATATGCTATCAAAATATAGCCACATATCATCGTAATACTTCCAAAAATCATAACAATCCGGCAGCCGAATGCTTTGGCCATAATTGCAGAAAACACACCTAGAAGAAATAGCACATGGATGATTATATTTACTTTCAAATTACCATTTACACGTTTCTTAATATTGCCTTTATATAATAGTTTTACAATTAGATAATATGTTGTATTTTATATTTTATTTCCATCCTGTTTAATAAAGAAATACATAATAAGGAAATAAATAAACATGAATCTCCATCGTATTCAAACGTTAATTAATAGGTTATTATAATACGTATAATGCTTGCAATAAATACTGCAACTCTGTAAATAATACGGTACTGTAAGACTACCGTACCACATAGGCCTACATGCCATGTTAATAAATTTTACTTTGTATATACATTTTAGTTTAATTTACTTCTAGTTTAAGTTTATTTTTCTCTTATATTTGGATGCCTACTAGCGAAAAAAAATTCGCAAGTGATTCGGGTGGGAATCGAACTTACGACCTCCAGGTCGTACTTATTTGGGGACGTACTGTGTATTCGGTACGATAACACGTCAGGTAGGGCAAAACATCACTCCTATGACATTTTCCTGAAGCAAAATCACATCGTAACAGAATGATAACCTTGTTCATTCCTCAGTGGAATACTACACAAACGCTATAAGAAAGAGAAATTACCTTTACATTTAGAAATAAAAAATACTGTATACCAAACGTACCGCAAGAATATCTGAGGGAAGTAATCAGTGTAAGTGCCATCCCGACCTTTGCGGCGCTTTCTTCGTAGTAGTCAATCATATAAGGAAAATATATTCCATTTGGTGGTGCCATTACTACTATCACAGTTGCTACTAAAGCTGCTATGGTGATAATCCATGCATATCCAATGTTCAGCTCAGAAACCATAGTGGAGGGTCTATATTATAGCATACAATTATTATATAGAATACACAGTAGGCCTACAAATAGTCATGGCGAAAGTATAAACGGGTTGAGTCTGTCTTACCCGTTAAGAATGTTGCACCCTTTCTGTCAATTCATAGGCCTCCATGATCTTAATTCAATGGGAATTTTTTACAAAAGCCAGATTATAATGGGAGAAGTCATGCAACCAAGAGAGTGAATAGACAGCGTGAACAAGAAGACAAAAAATGCTCTATAGATAATATATATATATATATATATATACTGTATATATATATATATATATAT